GTGTGTGTGTCTGTAAGTGTGTATGTGAATGTGTGTGTGTGTCTGTAAGTGTGTGTGTCTAAGTGAATGTGGGTGTGTGTGTCTGTGAGTGAATGTTTGTGTCTGTAAATGTGTATGTGTGTGTGTCTGTGAGTGAATGTGTGTGTGTCTGTCAGTGAATGTGTGTGTGTGTCGGTCAGTGGCTGTGTATGTGTCGGTCAGTGAGTGCGTGTGTCTGTCAGTGTGCGCGTCTGTCAGTGAGTGTGAGTCTGTCAGTGTATGTCCATGTAATAGTGTGTGTCTGTCTATCATTGTGTCAAATCATTGAGTGTGTGTGTATGTCATTGTTTGTCAGTGTACATGAGAGTGTGTGTCTGTCAATGAGTGTATGCATCTATTAGTGAGTGTGTGCATCTGTCAGTGAGTGTGCATCTGTCAGTCAAAGTTCGGTCTTGACAGGAAGGGGTGGGAAAAAATTTAATTAGGGGGGTGCCTGAGCACCGTCCTGCCTAGGGCAGCACAAACCCTAAATACACCACTGCCTGGCACCCATGCCACTTCATTGAGCTGAAGTGGTCTGGGTGACTATAGTGTCCTTTTAAATGTTTCTATCACATCTCCTCAGTCTTGTCTTTCCTCCAAGCTATACATGTTAAGTTCCTTTAACCTTTCCTTGTAAGTTTTATCCTGCAATCTATGAACCAATTTAGTAGCCCTTCTCTGAATTTTCTCTAAAGTATCAATATCTTTCTGGAGATATGGTCTCCAGTACTGCGTACAATACTCAAAGTTCTCACCAGTGTTCTGTACAATGGCATGAGCACTTCCCTCTTTCTACTGCTAATACCTCTCCCCATACAACCAAGCATTCTGCTAGCATTTCCTGCTGCTCTATTACATTGTCTGCCTACCTTTAAGTCATCAGAAATAATCACCCCTAAATCCCTTTCCTCATATGTTGACGTTAGGACTCTATCAAATATTATGTACTTTGTCCTTGGGTTTTTATGTCCAAGATGCATTATCTTGCACTTATCCACATTAAATGTCAGTTGCCACAATTCTGACCATTTTTCTAGTTTACCGAAATCATTTGCCATTTGGCTTATCCCTCCTGGAGCATCAACCCTGTTACATATCTTAGTATCATCAGCAAAAAGACATACATTAACATCTAGACCTTCTGCATTATCACTAATAAAAATATTAAAGAGAATGGGTCCAAGTACAGATCCCTGAGGTGCCCCACTGGTGACAAGCCCAAGCTTCGAATATATTCGAAGTACTGAGCCTTTTGTGATGTGCCCTAAATCAGATTTCTTATTTAAATATGTTCTACTTTCCATTGCAAAATTAAATGTAATCTATATATACACATGGTTGGGAGGAAGGGGTTAATATATGATTAATTAATATTTCGCAAGCACAAGCTCTATAGGGTTTTTGTTAGGTTGAAAATCATGAAAAACATCCGATTTCAGTGCATAGTGTGCACTGTTATCATTGCAAACAATTCTAAATGCACGCTTCCTCTTTCTGTGAAATTGTGTGAGTTGTAGGAGGGATTGGGACCTATATCCCACTGAGTTCCTAATGCATTTAATTACTTTGTCATATAAATATATGATTGTATTTACTAAATGCTGAAATGGAGTGAGTCGGAAACTGACTTGCAAAATCCAGGTTAAAATAGCCAAGCTGTGTGATTAAATGTTGGATATTTGTTTCTAAATCAACAAGTTTTACCTAAAATTTGCAATTCAGTTGCATGGTGCTTAAATGTAAGATTTTTACAAAATGGACAAATGAAAAAACACCTTCTTACATAGCCCCTTCTCCCCGCCTATTTACATCCACCCAGCTTCTCACATATACCCTAATCCCCATCTATGTACACCCAGCCATCATCTCACCTACCTCCTCTCCCTCACATTTGTACACCCACCCAGCTTCTCACATAAACCCTAATCCCCATCTATGTACACCCAGCCATCGTCTCACCTACCTCCTCTCCCTCATGTTTGTCCACCCACCCAGCTTCTCACATAAACCCTAATCCCCATCTATGTACACCCACCCATCATCTCACCTACCTCCTCTCCCTCACATTTGTACACCCACCCAGCTTCTCACATAAACCCTAATCCCCATCTATGTACACCCAGCCATCATCTCACCTACCTCCTCTCCCTCACGTTTGTACACCCACACAGCTTCTCACATAAACCTTAATCCCCATCTAAGTATACCCAGCCATCATCTCACCTACCTTCTCTCTCTCACGTTTGTACACCCACCCAGCTTCTCACATAAACCCTAATCCCCATCTATGTACACCCACCCATCATCTCACCTACCTCCTCTCCCTCACGTTTGTACACCCACCCAGCTTCTCACATAAACCTTAATCCCCATCTAAGTATACCCAGCCATCATCTCACCTACCTCCTCTCCCTCACGTTTGTACACCCACCCAGCTTCTCACATAAACCCTAATCCCATCTATGTACACCCAGCCATTATCTCACCTACCTCCTCTTCCTCACCTTTTGTACACCCAACCAGCTTCTCACATAAACCCTAGTCCCCATCTATGTACACCCACCCATCGTCTCACCTACCTCCTCTCCCTCACGTTTGTACACCCACCCAGCTTCTCACATAAACCTTAATCCCCATCTATGTACACCCAGCCATCATCTCACCTACCTCCTCTCCCTCACGTTTGTACACCCACCCAACTTCTCACATAAACCCTAATCCCCATCTATGTACACCCAGCCATCATCTCACCTACCTCCTCTCCCTCACATTTGTACACCCACCCAGCTTCTCACATAAACCCTAATCCCCATCTATGTACACCCACCCATCATCTCACCTACCTCCTCTCCCTCACGTTTGTACACCCACCCAGCTTCTCACATATACCCTAATCCCATCTATGTACACCCAGCCATCATCTCACCTACCTCCTCTCCCTCACGTTTGTACACCCACCCATCTTCTCACATAAACCTTAATCCCCATCTAAGTATACCCAGCCATCATCTCACCTACCTTCTCTCTCTCACGTTTGTACACCCACCCAGCTTCTCACATAAACCCTAATCCCATCTATGTACACCCAGCCATTATCTCACCTACCTCCTCTTCCTCACCTTTTGTACACCCAACCAGCTTCTCACATAAACCCTAATCCCCATCTATGTACACCCACCCATCGTCTCACCTACCTCCTCTCCCTCACGTTTGTACACCCACCCAGCTGCTCACATAAACCCTAATCCCCATCTACCATCTATGTACACCCATCCATCATCTCACCTACCTCCTCTCCCTCACGTTTGTACACCCACCCAGCTTCTCACATAAACCCTAATCCCCATCTATGTACACCCATCTATCGTCTCACCTACCTCCTCTCCCTCACGTTTGTACACCTACCCAGCTTCTCACATAAACCCTAATCCCCATCTATGTACACCCACCCATCGTCTCACCTACCTCCTCTCCCTCACGTTTGTACACCCACCCAGCTTCTCACATATACCCTAATCCCATCTATGTACACCCAGCCATCATCTCACCTACATCCTCTCCCGCACGTTTGTACACCCACCCAGCTTCTCACATAAACCCTAATCCCTATCTATGTATACCCAGCCATCATCTCACCTACCTTCTTTCTCTCACATTTGTATACCCACCCAGCTTCTCACATAAACCCTAATCCCATCTATGTACACCCAGCCATCATCTCACCTACCTTCTTTCTCTCACCTTTTGTACACCAGACCAGCTTCTCACATAAACCCTAATCCCCATCTATGTACACCCAGCCATCGTCTCACCTACCTCCTCTCCGTCAAGTTTGTACACCCAACCAGCTTCAAACATAAACCCTAATGCCCATATATATATACCCACCCATCATATCACCTACCTCCTCTACCTCACCTTTGTATACTCACCAAGCTTCTCACATATACCCTAATCCCAATCTATGTACACCAAGCCATCGTCTCACCTACCTCCTCTCCCTCACCTTTGTACACCCACCAAGCTTCTCACATATACTCTAATCCAACCCATGGTCTCACCTACCTCCTCTTCCTCACCATGTACACCCACCAAATTTCTCACATAAACTCTAATCCGCATCTATATACACCGACCTATCATCACACCTACATCCTCTTCTTCACCTTTGTACACCCACCAAGCTTCTCGCATATACTCTAATCCCCATCTATGTACACCCACCCATCATCTCACCTACCTCCTCGTTTTCACCTTTGTACATCCACCAAGATTTTCAAATATACTCTAATCCCTATCTATGTACACCCAACCATCGTCTCACCTACCTCATCGCCTTCACCTTTGTACACCCACCAAGCTTCTCACATACACCCTAATATCTACCTATGTTAATTGTTAAGGATGATAGATGTGCTGTACAGCTCACTATGAGAACTTATCAAGACAATAGAAGTATATTGTATACAGGTACAATCTGACATATATTAACACAAAAGTACCTATCTTTTCATATACAACCCTCAGTTATGTATAAAAGATAGATATATATAACACTGAATGAACAATTTCTATGAAATTAGCAGAATTAGTTAGGACCAACAAACAGAACTATTCTCTTTGCCACTAAAATGCTATCAATCATCAATGCCCTTAACCCCTTCTATTTGATAAATACGTGGTAACTCAATAGAATATGTGGACTGAAAACAATTAATAAATGTGATTGCTGAGTTCAAACAAATGAAATGTTTAATATTAGATTAATATTACAAGACTAACAGTTACAGAAAGTATAAACAATACTTACAAGCCTAGAAGTTTGAAACGACTCAGGAATCTTCCTGTTATTGCCCCGGGGGATGGGATCATAGCCCAGGACAAGGGGTACATGACCATTGTACTTTAGTTAATGAATAACTTGCAAGACTGAAGCCATTTACAATATTTTATCACTAAAATGCTTTATTTAGCTTGGCAAGCAAGCTTGTTGTATATACAAACACCCAGATACACACAACTAACAATAAGTATATATATATATAAAAATATGGATAAGTATATGCAAATAAGCATAAGCGCCCGTCCATCCGTCTGTCCAAATCATACATCCACACACACTCACAACTTGATTATCACCTATGTACACTGACAAATGTTATCACTTACCCCCTTGAAACATGCATCCCTATCTTTGTACACCTAATCAACTTGTCATATTCTCCCTCCCCCCAAGGGCAGTCAGTTTATCCACATCAGAACCATAGAGTGCTAGGGGGCTATGGCCCACTGCTAGCCTACCACAAGAATTAGGACACAGCCCTAGAGGGGCCCTTGCTGGTCATGCTGAAGACAATTTAATCCAGGCACTCAGGGTCTTTTGCAAACAGCAGTTTTATTGGAGAAACACAAAACATAGCAAAGTTTCGATCCACACTCAGATTTTTGTCATGCTGGCACCACCAAGAGTAGGAGGCAAGTCTGAGGAATGCTCAATTGGAGAAAGACTTGCCAGTTTTTTGGAGTTTCAGTTGCAGTGTATACTGCTGGAGGAAGATCTGGTCTCTAAGAGAGGCTGAGTGTTTTCGATACGTTTGCATGTGTGGATCTTTGTGTATGTGATAGCGTGTTTACTGTAATTGCTAATGTCATGCCTGCATTCAAACGCAAATACTACACACATACCAAGGGTTAATACACAACAGGTTGGAGTTATTGCAGAATGTGTGTGGCAAATAAAGCATGGCGTGAAGTTAATGCAGGAGATGCTTTTAAACATACATTTCATAATAAGAGTTCATTCTAAGATTTGGTGTCATAAAGTGATTCAATTAAATTGCTATGATTTAGAGTTAGACATAGGGTGTCTGATAAGGTGGTTTTGGAGGGGAGGCTTATTTTAATATTTGTGGAACGGACCATAATAATAACCTATGGGCTGAAACTCCTGGTATTTTTGCTACCTAGCAATGTCCTTGCTTTTGGTAAACAGTACACCAAATAAATCTGCCTGCAGCAATGCCTGCAAGGTGCAGTACGGAGGAGGGGCAGGCTCTGGGTGAGAGTAGCAGCAGCACAGAGAGAAAAATTCTGTATTTTTTTTTCTAGCAGCTTTAGACAAGCAATCTAATAATGGAAAGAGAGAGGATACATATATTTAGAAAACATAAAGTGTTGTGGACATTGAACCTGTTTTGAGAAGCAAGTATGTGCTTCCCAAAGATGGATATGCAGTAGAGATGTGTCTTACAGCAAGTGTAACACCCACTAAAACATGATCAATGGTCTCAACGGGAGACAAGGGTAATGTAAATAAATTAAAATATGTGCTATTAATAATGTTAATGGAAAAATCACTTCATTGTATAACATGAGTCAAGCCAGATGGTTAGAAAACTGCAAACTTTTATCTGTTATGACAGGTTCAATTTAAGGTAAAGGGAAACAGATAAAAGAGAGTGATTTTCATTGATATTTAGAAGGTCCCAACAAGTCTCTTGGCAAAAAATAAAATGATGCATTATTGAGCTTTTCATCTTCTTTCTTTGTGACCATCATAAGAGTGATCGAGGGCTTTGCATGGAAATACTTCTTCATATTCTGGGTATGTTTGTGAGCACGGCCTCTCGGGTGGACCAAATTTCTGCAAACACATATCAAGACATAAAATAAAAATGGAGAAACAAACAACAACACGAAACATGCAGAAATAGATACTCTGTGGTTTTTTTAATATGTTAAAGGGATTCTCCAGGCTGCTCTTGACCCATTATTTCATAAAGCATTATATAGGCTTTAACTTTAGAGAGCCAAGAAATCCCTGTACAACAATACCTTATGGGTATGGAAGGGGCTTCTCTGGGCTGGAGTTTTAGTTATTAGATCACGATTCTATCACGTGAATAACTGATACAGTAACAACTCCCTTTGCTGTGCCCCCATACATATGTATTACCGGAGCAAAATGGTGGAACATAATTGGACGGCAGGAGCAAGACAATACATTTATAGAACAAACTATTTATTATTTGAAAAAAAAGGAAACTTTCAAAATAATTTTAAAAATCACCCAGCTGAATTACCTGTTGCCAAACCTGCACAATGCACCGTATGCGTATGAGTGTCTAAAGAGACTCTTTGATGAATGAAATCGGAGTCATTTGGGTGTACTATAACGTCTATATCACTTTTGTGATTTACTCACTAAAACATGAGTTGTGGAGAATTTACAAAGGAATTGCAAGCTTTTGGAAAACAAAACGCTTTAAAACTTTTTATGCAATATGTTTTCCATTTACTCAAATCAGTGTTTGCCAGACGCGGAATCACAAAGCAAACATTCTTGTCTATTGTACAAGTCATTTGTTTTGTGATTAGTCTGTATGGCAGTTCTGAAATCGCGAACTCGATCACTCTAAATGCCCAAACTCGGACAAATTGCAGTTCGTAACGAAACAAATCTCTTAGTCTGATGAACAGAAGCATCAGAGCAACACAATGTTTGAGCATATGTTCCAGAGCTACAAAGTAGCATTTTCTACATCAAATCTTGTTTTGGATAATAAGAATGTATTGACCGAACTGGGAACTGCAGAAAACTGACAAGGGAATTGCATAATTTTGGTTAAAAAGTTCGATTTGTTTTTAAAATCTGCATTAGATAGTTTTTAGCAAACCTTTTAATTTGACCTAATACTTGCAGTTACCTTTAGATTACCCAGATAGTAATGTAATGCATCTAACAAACGGCCCATCTAATCTACCAGTAATTAAAACGTTGCAATATTGTAGTTATTTTCTCAAATAGACTTATGTGCATGCATGCGTTTCCTTAGTGTGTTTGTGTTTATTACCATGCCAACAAATTAAATTAGAAGGTCCCACCTCTTTAATTAAAGTATTGATTGAATTTCACTAACAGAGAAATTATCATGATTATTTTAAGAATGTAGTTTTATTTTATTAGCATTGCTCTAGCATTTAATAAAGCCATTATCAGTTTTAAAAATCAGGAATTGAAACCAACAGAAAGCTCGAAGGAACATTACCTTAATTTCATCATAGTCTGGACATCTGTTTTGTTTCTGCAGAGATGTGTACGGGTCTTCTAAAGACACAGTATTGTCTGAAAACTGGAAGTGATTAAATATTTAGCATGATAGAAAAACATTTTGAAATAATTCCTTAATGCTGTCTAGAATTGTGTATGAAGGTAAAACAGAAAATACTAGTGAATTGAGACTGGAAAACTAATGAACAGAAAGTTTTACTTTGTATCCGCTTTTTTCCCATTGTGTGTAAAATTTTAAGCCATCATATAATTAGAATGGTCAGGAACACGTTATACAATGTAGAACATTTAAAGGACACTCCAAGCACCATAACCAATGCAGAGTGCTAACCGTTTGACTTCTTACTTGGGTTTCACCGGGACCCGCTCTCTGCCTTTGCCACTGCTGGGATTTCTTTGCCTGAGCTAAGCCTGTCATTGGCTGAGTGCTATCAACTGATGAATGAATACTTGAAGAGTATAGACAGAGAGCGACACCAGAAGGACATCCCATAAAACGTCAAACCGTTAGCAAGTTTAGTGGTTATGGTATTTGGAGCTTTCCTCTAATTATTTACCTGGGAAATTGATGTGAATCATTTAGGATAACTAAACATTGAGGGGAATGTAACATGCAAAACATCTGCAGAGATGTGGTATGGTCTAACTGCTGAAATAATGTTATTTTAATCTGGAAGAATGTAGACGTGATGATTTTAGAGAAATAGTTCTGCTAAAATCTGAGAAATGAGAAGTGGGTACATTTCTTAATATGGGTCAGATTCCACTGAATGCTGAATATAAGTAGAAAAACTCAAATACATTCCTTATAACACAAATAAATAAATGGGTTGTATACATAGGCTTATGTTCTCAACAATGTAGACACCCATATTACATTAATAAATGTTCCAATATACATATACATTGCATGTGATTATGAAAATTTCAATTGTTTGATTTAATTTTAAATTCGGTTGAAACAAACATATTACTGTATGAAAATGCAGGAGTTAAAAAAACTTCCCTTGTCACTTATTTATGTGAATTTATAGCAGACTTTTTGGATTCTTTCCTTCCATTTTGTCGTTATAAAAATGCAGACATCAACTGATATCTGTAGCTCCATGCCTATCTCTTTAATAATTATCTTATATACAAGAGAAAGGTTCTTGATGTCAGCTCTACACAACACCAGGAAGGAAAGAAACAAATATCTGTTTTTAACCCTTAGGTACAGTTAGTGTTATCTTAAACATATGGCCATCACTGAGCCTTTTCCGAAATGCATGTCCTATATTTTTAATGCCAGAGGGACTGTATACTGATCAGCTACAACATTAAAACCACTTGCCTAATATCATGTAGATCCCCCTTATGCTACCAACACAGCTCAGATACTTTGTCATGTTCCACAAACCATTCCTGAATAATATTTGCTGTGTGGCAGGGTGCATTACCCTGCTGAAAGAGGCCACTGCCATCGATGAACACCATTGCCACGAAGAGGTGTATGTGGCCTGCAACAATCTCAAGGTAGGTGGTAAGTGTCAAAGTAACATCCACAAGAATACCAGGACACAAGGATTCCCGGCAGAACATTGTCCAGAAAATAACACTGCCTCTGCCAGCAAGCGTTCTTCAGATAGTGCATCCAGCTGCCATCTCTTCCCCATATAAATGATGCACACGCACCTGGCCATCTACCTGATGTAAACGAAAATATGATTCATCAGGCCAGGCTACCTTCTTCCATTGCTAGATGGTCCAGTTGTGATGCTCACATCCATACATGCATTTCTCAGAAGTGCTGCTGCTACAGAGGCCAAAATGTTTACAAAATACAGCTTAAGGAACAGCGCTCACACAAAGATATAAGGCTACTTAAAATCACCAAACAAATACGGGGATTAAGTTCTACCATATTGTGTTAAGCCCACCAGTACACCACAGTACACCAATATTGCTGGGTCCTAAACTCATTTTAACATGGGAGACAAAGTAAATAGTGCTAGTGCTAAATTAACTAAAGTGTATTTATTTAATCTGTTGCAGGAACCTTGTGAATATATATGATGCAGACTTAATATGATAAAAAAACACAATTAAAGGACCACTATAGGCACCCAGACCACTGCAGCTTAATGAAGTGGTCTGGGTGCCTGGTCCAGCTAGGTTTAACCCTTTTTTCTATAAACATAGCAGTTTCAGAGAAACTGCTATGTTTATATAAGGGTTAATGCAGCCTCTAGTGGCTGTCTCATTGAAAATCACAGTGAGAAGATGCCAGCGTCCATAGGAAAACATTGTGAATGCTTTCCTATGAAACTGGCTGAATGCGCGTGCGGCTCTTGCCATGCATGCGCATTCAGCCGAGGAGGAGAGGAGGCGGAGAGGAGGAAGGGAGTCCCCTGCCCGGTGCTGGAGAAAGAGGTAAGTTTAACCCCTTCCACCCCCTAGAGCCCAGCGGGAGGGGGACCCTGAGGGTGGGGGCACCCTCAGGGCACTATAGTGCCAGGAAAACGAGTATGTTTTCCGGCACTATAGTGGTCCTTTAATAAAAATACAGTGCCAAAACTAAATAGTCAAAGTGATAATGAATATACTCATGATGCACATCATATATCTGCTCTATATCAAATAAAAATCATTACTAAGAGGGCTTTAGATAATGGACAGGGTCATCATGGACACTCTGACTAGTCTGCGGCTATGCAACCCATACACAGCAAACTGCAATGCACCGTGTGATCCGGCACCTTTCTATCATGGCCAGCATTAAGGTTTTGAGCAATTTGAAGCACAGAAGCTCTTTTGCCTGATCGAAATCGGACCAGACGGGCTAGCCTTTGCTCCCCATCAATTGGCGCCTGCGGCTTGATGCCGGTTCACCGGTTGTCCTTCCTTACGCAACATTTGTTAGGTACTAACCACTACATACCAGGAACAGCCCACACACAAATTGCAATAACCATTTGGCCCTTATCAAAGTCACTCAATTCTTTTCATTTGCTCATTTTTCATGCTTCCAATACATATATCCCATCCTTTGACAGGTACCATTGTAACAATAATATCAATGTTATTCACTTTACCTGTCAGTGCTTTTTATGTTGTGGCTGATCAGTGTGTATGGTTCATAATACTAACAAGAGGACAATCCATGCTTGCATAACTTTTTTAGCAATCAGATTATATTGTTTAAATGTGATTGATCCTTAATAGGTTAACATTTGCAGGGTTATTTACTAACGTTAGAATTCAATGTGGATTTCAAGATTAAGGCCAGAGTTGCCAAACGGAAAGCATACATAACTTAAAGAATTTTTCCAGTTCCGATTTTCGAGCTTAAATAGTACATTACACAGTATCATCCAAAGTGTTGCCGACAAAATGTAACAGTATTAATTTAAAAATTATTTCAGAAAAACTTCTAAAGTACCAAACATTCTGATTTCATTTAAGTTGAGAGAAAGTGAAACATAGTTTTTCTAAATCTATTTATTTATTCATTAAACTGGCAGGGTTATTCAATAAACTGAGAAGGCAAAGGGAATTTTTCAGATATAAGTATAAAATAACAACACTGGAAATATTCTCATGGAACTATCCAGACACACTTACGAGCACATTTGTATAGACATTATTCGAGGATTCAACTACTTCATTTGGAATAATTTGGTTATTTAATTTTTTCCGTTTCCTCCTATTAAAAAAAAAAAAAGATAAAAATGTGCACCAATTATAACACTCACTTTTTATGTACTAACAAAATTATAATTTGGAAATATATTTAATCTTGAAATTAAGTCTCAAGTAAAACTATTGTTAGATAAAGCAGCATGTGAATTGGGATAGAACCAGCTTATAGCTATTCTTGATTTAGGCAACAAAAAATATATTTCAAAACTGCTGAGACTTCATATCAGTTATCAGTTATTATATATAAGGAGTGTGAGTAACAAACTCCACCAGTAAGTGGAGCTGCAGCAAGTGTGCATGGTTGAATAGAATGAACACTAGACTTGAAGATTCGTTTTGTTATGAATTGCAAATCATCTGAATTTTGGCGGTTTAGGTGATTACTCAATTTCCTGATTTCTAAATTGGCAAATAGACTAATCACAAAACAAATGACCCACGCAATAGACAAGCATGTTTGATTGGTTTGTGATTTGGAGTCCTACCCAAAAATGAAAGTAGCTAAATGCTTATTTAATTTAAAGATAAAGTGTTTTTATCCCTTTAAGGAGAGTGCCAAGCAACTACTTTTATTATATATATATATATATGTATATATATATATATACCTATATTAAGTATATATTTTTAGCACACAGAATATATATATAAATATATTTATTTATTTGTGGTCAGGGACAATTACCCAGGTTATAGTAGTGGTGGAATAAGTCAGTTGTGGTGTGCCAAAACCAACGTTTGGGTTGGCCCATAAAAATAGGGCCCACCAAAATTGAATGGATTAATAGATGAAGTGGTGGGTGGGCTGAACCAGGAAGTCTTGGCCCAGAGGAAGGGGAAGCCTGTGTATTTAAAGGCCAGGTAACACTTCCCACAACTACAGGCTCAGCCTTTCTATTTGTGGTCAGGGACAATAAGTTGAGTTATAGTAGTGGTGGTGTAAATCGGTTGTGGTGTACTGGAACCAATGTTCAGGAAGACCTGTAAAAAGTTGGAAAAAAGTTGAACAGTTTAACACTTTAAGTTGTGTTGACAATATGAAGCCAATAATTTAAATGCCTGCCTCAATTCCCTCTTCAGTTAAGGGATGAATCTCGTGTATCCAAAGGATCACCTTCCCGGTTGGCGATGATGTGTACTGGAATATTCCACTAGAGATTGCAGAAGCAGGGACAATGCTAAAAGAATGATCTAAACATTTTGGTGGCAAAAGGATGTAAATGCCACCGTGGAGTCTATTGAGTACAGATGAACAATTTGATATACTGAAGGGAACGTACAAAAGCTGGTCATAACTCCAGTACATAAAGGAAGGCATTGGTAGTGAGAGACAATATTGGGAAAAGGTAAACTGCCACACGGCTGAAAATCATCCATTCTGAAAGACTTTTTACTTTCACATGAAGTGGTTTGGATGAAATACATTTTTTAAAAGTGGACAAGTCTAATAGGGTCCCAAAACTCTTACAGAGTTATTCACTAAAGTGATAATTTCTGTGAATTTAAAGTGAATTAATTCAACGTTTGAAGTTCAGCCAGTTTGGGTTTGGGGATTTTTTGTTTTCTGACTATTCAACATAAAGATTCCCTGATATTTACACAAAACTTAATAACTCTAGTGTAAATTCTAGTCCAACTTTAAACTTTGGGAAAAGAACTCTCTAGAAGAGTGGGAATACCAGGAGCTGGCTAGGTGACTAATGGCTAAAATACTAATACATAGAGATAAATATAAATATAAAAAATATAAATATAAAAATATATATATGGTACTATGCCTTTAAATCTGGAATGGACAAAGTATCCCTATAAATGTGCAAAACTGTGAGTAAAAGTGCTATGAGTGGAGATCACAGTTTTTTTTACTCACAGTTTTGCACATTTATAGGGATACTTTGTCCATTCCAGATTTAAAGGCATAGTACCATATATATATTTTTATATTTATATTTTTTATATTTATATTTATCTCTATGTATTAGTATTTTAGCCATTAGTCACCTAGCCAGCTCCTGGTATTCCCACTCTTCTAGAGAGTTCTTTTCCCTTGTTCTATATAGGTTTTTAGTGAATCCCTATCATTACCAGTTTTCGAGCAGCTTAGTGCTAGTCTGTCTCCCTCTCTCCTGTGTGGTATATTAGGTACACCAGAACCGTTCTACCAACTTTAAACTTTAATTGATATTTTTAGACTCTTTATTTTAAATTATTTAATATTTTTGGATAAACCTTTAAAATATCAAAAAATATATATGTAAAAGATATGTTAATATATATCAAAAATTAAAAATATTAAAATATTTAGCAAGCACTATTTGCTATTACTGCATCTATATAAAAAAAAAACTAATTTCAATATTGCAATAAGATTTAGATGCCATGCTTCCACAAATCTACTCCAAAAAAATGTAAAAAATTGGAATACTTACAACATCACCAAAATGAAAGTTAGGATAAAGACAATGGATCCACCAGCTGCTCCCAAAATGATAAAAAATGTGGCGTTTGGAAATGAGCAACCAACACCTTAAACAGAATAGAAGATAACCATTGTACAATGCTGTGGAATTTGTTGGTGCTATATAAATAATTAAAGTGCCAATGTGCTTAATAGATCATTCCCAGAGAGAATCTCAATGGGTTCTACTTTGAATATAGTCAGAGGCGTAACTAGAATTCACTGGGCCTGTGCTAAAATTGCCCTGAGGCCCCCCCTCCCATGTATCTCACTCCCCCCCCCTCACAGTGTCTCATTCCCGCACCCATGCCCTCCCATGTGCTTCATTCCCTCTGCCCTAAAGCCCCTCCATGTGTCCTATTCCCAAACGAAGTCAAAACGAAGTCAAAACGAAGTCAAAACAAAGTCAAAACGAAGCCAAAGTCAAATACCAGAAAAAACACGATCAGAAGCACACTCTTGGAAACCACAACAAGGCACTGATAAAAAGGTAATTTGGGTTTAAATAACCCTCTTTAGGCTGTAATTGACTGTCTCTGACCTCTGACCTAAGATGTGCGTGTGCATCTATGACGCAACGTTGAATGCACGTTGGCGCCATCTTTGATGTGGGTGAAGGTAACTTTCTTATAAAATCCTGAACCGCAGCGGCCGCGTTCCTAAGAATGACCCACACGCTGGGCACTGTAACCATGGGAGACCAGGCAGCTGCCCGCCAGGGCCAAGGTAAGTCTGGAACATCTGTCGACATGGCTGCTTAGTGTGTGTGCAGCCATACCGGCAGAGGCACCGGGAGCCGTGACAGCATCTCTTTGTGGTTACATGGTATAATATCACACTGAAGAATAACAGAGTGTTTTTATATAACATATACCATCCATCCTGCTTTATGCTTTTTCATTCAATTTAGTACATTGTACGTAGACTCCTGTGATTGAACGTCTCTCCCTCTATTTTGGCATGGAATGCTCATTTACTTATTATAGCCCACTATACCATCTCTCTGTATTTTTACCAAGCATGACCCACAACATATTTCTCTAACACAACACGTTTATAGGGCAAACAACCTGTGTAAAGGTTTCAATCTCCTTGCTGTATCCTAAACCTGTAAATCTGAATGTGAACATGTGGTCAACTATACATTCCTGTTTTGTAAGTTGTCTAGATTTGATAATGCTCTTTGAATATATGACCATGAACACCTTCTAAATGGTTCATATACACTTGACTGTGTCACTGAACTTGTGTCAACCCTACATGTTTACTACATGTTAAAGATGGTAAATACCAAAGGTTTGTTGTTGTTTTTTTTTCTCAATAGTTCCAGTTTAACTATAATATTACTATATTTTTGTATGTTCACCCAGGGAAGAATATTTGACTTTGTCTAGTTATCAAATATGCATTGGCCTCTCTATATATTACCCGGCTCAGTGGCTCTCATTTTATTGAGCTTAGAAGAAGAAAGTTGTGTTGACACTTTTAGTATATGAACCAATGAAATTGAATACATTTTACAGAATGGTATCCACTGAGTTTTGGCTTTGGAACTAGCTACCTTGTAAAATTGATTCTTCAATAGGTTAGTGGAAAATGCATCTTAACTATATCTATAGAAGAACATATTATAAATATTATAAATCTTAGCAGGATAATAGTTTTTGAACCCATATTTTGTCTTACTCACAGATTAGTGACACAGATGGTGACAGGGATCCACCTAGGTAATTAGAAGCCATGCATTGATAATTTCCAGAATTTATCTGTGACATCTTCTTGATCTGTAGAACCCAAGAATTGTTGCTATCGAGCACTTGATTATCCTTATACCATGTGTAATTATTTACTGGTGGATTACTGGTACTCAAACATGTAAGTATTACTTCATCCCCGTGATGAATTTGATCATTTTCATGGCTGTTGTTCACAATAGCTATTTTGGGGGCATCTAAACAATGAAGAAGATGATCATCAATTTATGTTAAGATTGTAAATAAATAAATTAAATAAAAAATAGTATTTTTTAATTAACAACAATTGTACAACCTACTTTAACATAATACAGTGTAGTTTTCTAGATACATAAAATAAAATACAGATGATACACTATAATGTTTGTATATATAAAGGTTTAAAGAAAAACTCTTACTGTGGAGGTAATTGCAGAATAAAATAACTAAAACAGAGGTTTAGTGTCTGGACATCCATGAGGGCAGACACTTGAGGCTGTAGCTCTGACTGTGAATTGAGCTACATCCAGCTACCTGCTTGTCATCCTACACAATGGATAACAAAAAAAGAGAGTCGATGGCTGTTAAAGACACCTCAGGTTTTTTTATTTTTTTTTATTTCAGCCCTTAAAGGGACACTATAGTCACCAAAACAACTTTAGCTTAATGAAGCAGTTTTGGTGTACAGATCGTGCCCCTACAGTCTCACTGCTCAATTCTCTGCCATTTAGGAGTTAGATCACTTTGTTTGTGCAGCCTAGTCACACCTGCATGTGACTTACACAGCTTTCCTAAACACTTCCTGTAAAGAGTCATGGTATGTTTACACTTCCTTTATTGTTAATTAGTTCGAACGCGAACTTCCGCAAATGTTCGCGAACCGCCCGAACCGCCATTGACTTCAATGGGCAGGCGAATTTTAAAACACACAGGGACTCTTTCTGGCCACAATAGTGATGGAAAAGTTGTTTCAAGGGGACTAACACCTGGACTGTGGCATGCCGGAGGGGGATCCATGGCAAAACTCCCATGGAAAATTACACAGTTGATACAGAGTCTGGTTTTAATCCATAAAGGGCAGAAATCACCTAACATTCCTAAATCACAATCAATATGGATTGACACCTGACATATGACATATTGACACCTTGACATATGGATTGACACCTGTCCTCAGAGCCCCTGATGCACACGGACACAGAGCAGAATAGAGACTGGTCACCCTACATAGGGTCACTTGGCAGATATGGATTGACACCTGTCCTAAGGATCCCTGATACACACTGACACAGAGCAGAATAGGGACTGTTCCCCCTACATCGGGTCACTTGGCAGATATGGATTGACACCTGTCCTAAGGTTCCCTGATACACACTGACACAGAGCAGAATAGGGACTGGTCCCCCTACATAGGGTCACTTGGCAGATATGGATTGACACCTGTCCTCAGAGACCATGATACACACTGACACAGAGCAGAATAGAGACTGTTACCCCTACATAGGGTCACTTGGCAGATATGGATTGACACCTGTCCTCAGAGACCATGATACACACTGACACAGAGCAGAATAGGGACTGTTCCCCTACATCGGGTCACTTGGCAGATATGGATTGACACCTTGTTACAAACTGCTATTTGTAACGGGCCCTTTAAATGGCAAATTGCCCTGCTTCCCTGGGTTGTGGAGAAGCCTATTTGCCAGCCTCCTCCCGCATGACTATGGCCCCTGGGAGATTGTGAAAATGTATGCACTTTTATTTGGTGTGTATGGCCTTTAAGACTGTCAGTGGGCATATTGGGGCTTATGGACTCTTTATGTGACTGGTGCTGGCCCTTTAAACACCTTTTTTGGGACATCAGGAAGATTGGGACACTGCCCCTTTAAGGCCGTGTCCCCAGACTTGTTGGGGACACTGCCCCTTTAAGACGGTGTCCCCTGTGTCCCCAGACCTGGTGCAAACCCTTTGTGCCTGCCTGGTTATTTCCCACTTGGTTCAGTAAATGGGGCTTACTGAACCAAGTACCACACAGGCAGACCACCCAGAAGTGGAAGTGTGCAGGCAATTTACCTCCCAGAAGCTGCGGTTAACCACAGCTTAATTGACAATGCTGGGAGGTCTTTGTTCGTTTGCCGAACACGTGGCGGCGGCCATCTTTGATCATTCGACAAGGTCAGCGGTATGTGTAGCCAAATTCATGGAACTAAAATCGGCAACACATTTCCGCGAACACCGCTGAGCTCTACCTTCTCCCCTACTGGTTTTACAGCTGCAGAGACTAAGTCCCATTCGGCGATGGGACTTTTTTTCAGCCGTTTTTTTCAGCCTTATTTCAGCTGCAGAGACTAAGTCCCATTCGGCGATGGGACTTAGTCGTTTTTCAGCCTGAAATAGACCGACCTCACAGCCCAAATTTATGGAACTGTTTTGGGCAGGAAAATGTGCTTGCGGTCGGTCATAAAGGGACCTCCAGCTAACTTTTTAACCCCTGGATGTATTTGGCTGATTTTTGGTTATGTTTATGTTTTAAGTGTGCTGATTCCAAATATGTAATTATGAAGATGGGATGTGTAGTTTTAAAGTTACAGGGTATGGCTAAAAACTGTATTTTTACTGCCTGTGTTTAATTATGTTAATCTCTTCCCAAACGTCATTTCGTTCAAAGTGGAGAGAATGTTAAAAAATATATTTTTGTTCGGAGTGTGAGAAATGCTTTTCAGCCGCTTCTAATCTTAAGCATCATTTGAGGAGCCATACAGGAGAGAAACCTTATTTGTGGTGTGTTTAGTATTGTTCTGATCAGTTTAATACCTTCCGCGTCTCCTATCAGTGGACGTGTATATGGCAGCCATTTTAGGAACCGTACACCTGGGACCCGAGCAAGGTCACCTCGTTCAACAGGCTTGCAGCGTATCCTCCAGGAAGAAGAACCCTTACCGGCTGCACGTGTCTTACCTGTACATGGAAGCTGCTCTGGTTCCTTGATGAGCCAGCTGCCCGTGAGTTAACATGTCCCATGGAAAAGCACTCTGTCCTGTAAAGCCTCACCAAAAAAAAGGAGTGGTGTGTTTAGTATTGTTCTGATCAGTTTAATACCTTCCGCGTCTCCTATCAGTGGACGTATATATGGCAGCCATTTTGTCAGATTCAAGTTCTTGTGCCCCACAGTTCAAAATAACATTCAAATGACAATTCATGACAGATCACACAAGTGAATAGCCCTGCCAGCGTCTTCTCAGAATTTTTTCGTTTTCTATGAAGAAATAGAAATGCAAGAGCAGAATAGAGACTGTTCAGTTTAATACCTTCCGCGTCTCCTATCAGTGGACGTGTACATGGCATTGATTTTTGTAACAGGGAGATGGAAGAAGAGGCTTGGTCGGTCCTCTTAATTCAAATTTGGGGCACTGCGCGGTCAAGCTAATGTGCCACCAGATAGGAGTGGTGTGTTTAGTATTGTTCTGATCAGTTTAATACCTTCCGCGTCTCCTATCAGTGGTCGTGTACACGGCATTGATTTTGTAACAGGGAGATGGAAGAAGAGGCTTGGTCGGTCCTCTTACTGCAAATTTGGGGCACTGCGCGGTCAAGCTAATGTGACACCAGATAGGAGTGGTGTGTTTAGTACTATTTTATCAGTTTAATACCTTCCGCGTCTCCTATCAGTGGACGTGTACACGGCATTGATTTTTGTAACAGGGAGATGGAAGAAGAGGCTTGGTTGGTCCTCTTACTGCAAATTTGGGACACTGCGCGGTCAAGCTAATGTGACACCAGATAGGAGTGGTGTGTTTAGTATTGTTCTGATCAGTTTAATACCTTCCGCGTCTCCTATCAGTGGACGTGTACACGGCATTGATTTTTGTAACAGGGAGATGGAAGAAGAGGTTTGGTCGGTCCTTTTACTGCAAATTTGGGGCACTGCGCGGTCAAGCTAATGTGACACCAGATAGGAGTGGTGTGTTTAGTACTATTTTTATCAGTTTAATACCTTCCGCGTCTCCTATCAGTGGACGTGTACACGGCATTGATTTTTGTAACAGGGAGATGGAAGAAGAGGCTTGGTCGGTCCTCCTAACTGGAGACTGTGTTGCTGTACGGGTGGCAGGTGGAGCCATTTATAAAGTACACACTGCTTTATAAAGCCATTTATAAAGTACACACTGGCGGCTTGAACTCTAGTTGGTGGCGGATAAGTCACGCAAGTCAAGCGGCATTCAGAGTTATAATACAGCAGCGTGTGGACCATTTTTAGCCCAAGGCAGGTCATCTCATCAGGCCTTTTTTACATAGGGTCACTTGGCAGATATGGATTGACACCTGTCCTAGGGATCCCTGATACACACTGACACAGAGCAGAATAGGGACTGTTCCTCCTACATAGGGTCACTTGGCAGATATGGATTGACACCTGTCCTCAGAGACCATGATACACACTGACAGAGCAGAATAGAGACTGTTCCCCCTACATAGGGTCACTTGGCAGATATGGATTGACACCTGTCCTAAGGATCCCTGATACACACTGATACACACCTACTTGGATGGTATAGACATTTTAGCAGCTCCTGGCCCGAACACCTGACCCACATAGGAGCCGTAATAGACCGGATTAGGGAGTCCGGACTGACCCTAAAGCCCAGTAAGTGCCATATAGGAACGTGTAAAAACCTCCCCAAGATAGTAGTATGGGCCCCAGAGTGTGAACAGGCCTTCCAACAGCTCAAGACGGCGCTCATTAAATCACCTGTACTTTCTTCTCCTGATCCAACTAAACACTTTCTCGTCCATACAGACGCTTCTATGCCTGGATTGGGAGCAGTACTGAGCCAAGTCGGAGCAGATGGTGGCGAGCAACCCGGGCTTATCTAAGCCGTAAACTTTTGCACAGCGAAGTATATTCACTGCCATTGAAAAGGAGTGCATGGCGGTGGTGTGGGCCCTCAAAAAGCTGCAACCTACTTGTATGGACAACCGTTTACCTTACTCACAGATCACAACAAATTTGGGGCACTGCGCGTGCAATCTAATGTGCCACCAGATAGGAGTGGTGTGTTTAGTACTATTGTTATCAGTTTAATCACTGTTACGCCCCCTATCCGTTGATGTGGAGCAAGACGCAGCAGCAGAAGAGGACTAAGCCGAGGAGGTTATGGAAGAGGATGGAGTAGGAGGAGTAGAGGAGGTGGCAGCGTACTGGCAGAGTACACGCTGTAGGGCTGACACACCCGCTTTGAGACAACTAACTGCTATTCAATCTATAATTGATGTTTGTTTCACAGGCAGAAAGTGCCCTAAAACATGGCGGCTTGAACCCTAGTTGGTGGCGGATAAGTCACGCAAGTCAACCGGCATTCAGAGCTAAAATACAGCAGCGTGTGGACCATTTTTAGCCCAAGGCAGCTCATCTCATCAGGCCTTTTTTAATCTAATGTATCGCCCAGTGTCAGTCCCTTCGGGATCCATCCCTCATTCATCTTAATAAAGGTGAGGTAATCTAGACTTTTTTGACCTAGGCGACTTCTCTTCTCAGTGACAATACCTCCTGCTGCACTGAAGGTCCTTTCTGACAGGACACTTGAAGCGGGGCAGGCCAGAAGTTCTATCGCAAATTGGGATAGCTCAGGCCACAGGTCAAGCCTGCACACCCAGTAGTCAAGGGGTTCATCGCTCCTCAGAGTGTCGATATCTGCAGTTAAGGCGAGGTAGTCTGCTACCTGTCGGTCGAGTCGCTCTCTGAGGGTGGATCCCGAAGGGCTGTGGCGATGCGTAGGACTTAAAAAGGTCCGCATGTCCTCCA